AAAATAAATAATTTCCAAACACATTGACAGCAAAAAACCAGGAATCAAACTGATAATATCTAATGTCTTTATAAGATTTAATCACATACAAAACAATGCTTAGAGATACATACACACATAGCAAAGCTATAAAATGTTCACGGGAATAAAACCCCAGCATGAGGATGTTGGTGACCTTGAGAAAGGAAGGGGAAAGAAACAGGGAGAGGAGTGCAGGAGACTTCCATGCATTGGTCAGGTTTTATTTCTTAAACTGAAACTGGGTGATAAATATTGTTATGCTTTTTATATGTTTTGATAATCTCATATTTTAATTTAAAAAATTTTATAAGATATCACTTCAGGTAAACACAGGAGCCAAGTTTAGAGTCCTTGTTTTATTCCTTTACAATTCATGATGCCATTTGTTGGAGGTGGTAGACAATGGAAGTGAAATTAGAGAGGAGGAAATGCTGCTCATTCCTTCTATTTGTACAAAAAGTGCAATTGTCTGCATTTCAAAGAAATCTGACTCTTTAAACCAGAGGCAATTTTGAAAAATAGGGTATTGAACACTGATAGCTTAAGTCATGTTTTTTCATTGCCTTGTTTTAATATTTACATGCATGTTTCTACAAAAATGCTGCTGACAAAGACTAATAAAAAGCAACAAAGAGATTCTCAGATTCATTTCAAAGGATTTGGTGGATACAGAATCCTACAGCTATTTCATTCTCCCAAACACATCTGTTAAATAGATGAGCCTAGACTCTCCATTTAAAATGCCCTTATGCTAACATATTTCATAAAGTTTTCCTTATTTTATTGAGAACTCTCACTAATTTCATCTATAGCAATTTAGGAAGTTGGCAGAAATACCTTCATTTCCTCTTTTATTTAAAAATAAATAAAAATTCATCCAATGTCCATCAAATGCCAGAGACTCTACCAGATGCTAGGGAAATACTAGTGAGCCAGACCGGCCCTGCCCTGAGTGAGTTTTCCTGGGGCACATGGACAAGTAGGGCAGTAGTTACACGCATCCTTCAGCAACCACTGAGGATTGTCACAGGATCCTCCACAGATACCAAAATCCAGGGACGCTCAAGTTCCTTACACACAAGTGCTTAGTATTTGCATGTAGCTGATTGCATCATCCCATAAACTACAAATCTTGTCTAGATTACTTAGAATACGGAATGTCGTGTGAATACTATGTAAATAATTGCTATGCTATATTGCTTAGGTAATAACAAGGGGGAAAAGCCCGTATGTGCTCAGTTCAAACGCAATTTTTTTCAAATATTTTTGGGCTGAGGTTGAATGAATCCATGGGTGCAGAACCTGCAGACATGGAGCCCACAGATGCAGAGCACCAACTGTGTAATGCTATGGCAGGTGGTGCTGGGACGTGGGGTACGCAGGCTCTTGCTCTAAAGGAGCATATGAAGGAACCGGACCCTGTCCTGTTGGATCTGAGGAGCCAGCTGAGAATCTGATATGTAAACTAAATCCTAAAGGATGAGTGGGGATTGGCTTCTAGGTAAAAAAGTAACTTACCTGTTTCCTTGCAGACAATTTAGTAGTACTATTGTTGAGCTGCCACTACCAACCAAAACAGAGGGAAAAGAAATAATACAATTTTTTTTTTGACAGGCAGAGTGGACAGTGAGAGAGAGAGACAGAGAGAAAGGTCTTCCTTTTGCCGTTGGCGTTGGTTCATCCTCCAATGGCCGCCGCGGCAGGTGCGCTGCGGCCGGCGCATCGCGCTGATCCGATGGCAGGAGCCAGGAGCCAGGTGCTTTTCCTGGTCTCCCATGGGGTGCAGGGCCCAAGCACCTGGCCATCCTCCACTGCATTCCCTGGCCACAGCAGAGAGCTGGCCTGGAAGAGGGGCAACCGGGACAGAATCCGGCGCCCCAACCGGGACTAGAACCCAGTGTGCCGGCGCCGCAAGGCTGAGGATTAGCCTAGTGAGCCGCGGCGCCGGCCCTAATACAATATTTTAACGTATTTCTTAACCTGAGGGGGAAAAAGAGCAGTAGTTTGCTTAAACAGGAAGGTTCTTCTCCCGGTGCAGCTCCCCAACCTTTCTTCTGTGGGCTCAAAACAAATGCCAGGAGGATAACTGGATTCCTACTGCCCTTCTGCAAATGTGCAAATACATCACCCAGTCTCAGCGAGGAAGTCAGGGCAGATGCACAGACAGGAACATAATCACTCAGCTCTACTCCGTGATTTAAAAATCCCTCTTGGCCTTGCTACCCAGGAGAAGAACTAGGAGCTCAGCTTCTCGGCTCAGAGGGATCATAACACAGACAAGAAGAGGAGGGAAGGAGGTTATCAGTGCAGCAACCTCTCAGCCATGTTCCTTCCATTTAATGCCCTGGGACCCTGCACTCAGCGGTGTGGCTGAATAACTGACCTTGGACTTCTTGTAAGGTTGAACATTCAATCTGCTTACACGGTGTCTGCCCAAGGAGCTAATTTCCATGAGTTGCCAAAGCAAATGTCTCACAAGAAATCATGCTCTCCAATCAAAACCAACTCCCCAGAATCCCACTAATCAGGCGACCCAGTAACTAGGGTAGCAGGATATAAAGATGAAGATCTCAATGTTTATTAATTACAGTCAAATGCAAAATCACAGTGCTGTCCTTCAACAAATGTAGGCACTTAAAAATACTTTAAACAAGAAAGTGATTTTCAAAAATTCAAAGTAAGAAATCTAGTACAAGCAGAGATGGTATTCTGAGGTATCATCAATGAATTTTCACACAAACCTTCCATCACAATAATATTCGTTTATATCTTCAATCTTACACAGCAACAAAGGCACAGCGAGAAAGACAGAAATTGCTTCTGAAAGAGAATCAAAGAGGCCTGGAGCGATTATTTTTTTCTAAAGGATCTTGGAGATTTGAAATAAGGCCTGTTTCTCCACGGGTGCACACCATTCGACTGCGAAGGGAACAGCAGCGGCCTTTGCTCTGATTTTACCTTTGAAGAGAATGAAAGGAACTCGGTGGAACACGCTCCCCCACAAAGACGAGCAGAACTCAAGCCTAACCTCCCAGAAACGCTGTAATCACAGTAAACACTAATCCTGCTCCTCACAGATGTCGTTAATGACACGTTAGAGCATTCAACAGCATTTCTTTCTCCAGCTGATCCTCCCTTGAAGGTTTAACAAAATCTTTCTGGATTGGAAGAAGAATTCCAATCATCTATAAATGACAAAAAATGCTGAAACTTTGGGCTTGACAGCTTCGTTAGAAATTGACAACATTCCAAAGTGAAAGAGAGGACAAGCGGTGGTACCGAGGGCTCTGTTACTCCAGCGTCCATTACCCGAATCCCTGCAGCCACAGAGTTTGCATTTACACAGGGAAGCATAGGCTGCCAAAATTACAAGTGTGCAAAGCCTGAGTGTATATAAAGCTGTCCTCTCTCCAACAGTTCCCCTAATTAACCAATGTCCATCCTGGTCCATCAGGTCAACCTCTGATGTCTTTTGCAGACTGCCACATGTTGAAACATCTGAAAAAATATCACAAATTGCAAAACTGGCCAAGCATGTAGATATCATCAAGTCAGTGGAAGCAATGTTAGAGAGATGCCAAAGTCACACAGGAAAGCTGCTGTCCCGAGGAATCTGGCAGAGCAGAACCAGAAAACAGCTGAAGAAAAGAAAATGGACAATAATGGCAAGAGGTGCTTCAAAAAGGAAGGACTTGGGGTGGGCATTTGGCACATGGCTAAGATACCACCTGAGAGGCCAGCGACTCATACTGGAGTGCCTGGGTTTGAGTTCCAGCTCCACTTCTGGTTCTAGCTTCCTGCTAATGTGCACACTGGGAGACAGTAAATGCTGGTTCAAGTAATCAGCTCCTTGCCACAAATGTGGGACACCCAGATTGCGTTCTCAGCTCCTGGCTCCAATCTGGTCTAGCCCAGGCTGTTACGGGCATTTGGAGAATGAACCAACAGATGGAAGATATCCCTCTCTCTCTTTCAAATAAAAGAAAAAAGAAAAAAAAGATACCTATTTATTATTTGACAGGTAGACTTACAGACAGTGAGAAGGAGATAGAGAGGTTTTCCACCCACTGGGTCTTTCCCCAAATGGCCCAATGGCTGGAACTGGGCCAATCTGAAGCCAGGAGCCAGGAGATTCTTCTGGGACTCCCATGTGGGTGCAGGGGCCCAAGCACTTGAGCCATCTTCTACTGCTTTCTCAGGCCATAGCAGAGAGCTGGATTGGAAGAGGAGCAGCAGGGATTAGAACCAAGGTGCCCATATGAGATGCTGGCGCCGCAGGCAGAGGATTAACCCATTATGCCACAGCGCCGGTCCCAAAAAAGAAAATTTTTAAAAACTTAAAAAACCTCACATGTAAAAAGACTGAGAGGAAATTAATGAAGTACTCAAATATTTTGTAAAAATCACCTTATCTATATTACTTCCAAAAAAGTATGAAATAAAGTATATCAAATACTATCAAATAATTTTCTTGTTTATCCAAAGAAATATTTGATTCATTTTTTTCATTCATTCTAAGTTCTGGAATATGGTTGCATTTATAATCTGAAAATTCATTTTTTTCCAGATGAAGTTTCAATCAGTGTATAACGTTTGAGCACGAAATTGAACCCCCGTTTTTAGTAGTATAGAAACAGACCTCACTGTTGAGTCACCAGCCCACTGCTTCTGGCTCATAGTTGATTCTCCAGGACTCTGATAAATGTTTCCTCCTACCCCAGAGAATGAGTCTGTCACCAGCCCAAGGCCTCCTTCCATCTGGAAGGCTCATCCCAAAGTTCTGCGTCAACAGGTTTTTATCAGTCTTCCCTTGGCTCAGCTGTCCTTGATTCTTACATCACTTTGAAGCCTTTCATCTTGGACTCTTCAAAGGCGAGAGAGACAGAGAGAGAGAGGGAAAGAGAGAGAGGGAGGGAGGGAGGGACATGCTAACCACACGCTGTCATGCAGGAGTTCTTCCTGTGCTCACCCTCTCTTACCAACAGTACCCAGCTCAGGCCTGGGCCTCTTTCCTGGTCCCAGCCACGGAGTCTTCTTTTGTTCCTCTGGATTCCAATGAAATCACTTCTCCTCTATAGGGTGCACGCTCCACTGGGGTAGGTGTGCAAGTCTGAAACACAACATTGGATTTTTCTCTCTTGTGATTCACTGCATTCTTGAACTGAAAGCTAAGAGCAGCTCCTTTTATGAAGTGTGAGAGCAAAAAAGGAATGTGAATCTATTGTGCGTCCCGACCCCTTTGCTCTTTCGCCAAAATTCCTGGCAACCTTGGGGCCCCGGCTGCCCCCTCTTTGTCAGCATTCATCTGCATCGGACAAAGGCCCGGGAACACGTTCACTGGGGTCTCCGCCATATCCTCACCACCCTGAGCCCCGCAGCCATGTCCTACAACCTTGCCACTGTCCTACTTTTTCTTCCAGTTGCAGTCCAGCTGTATTCCCAGACTGCTTTGTTGTGCCTCTAGGACTCAGCATTTTGCTTCTGATTGTAGCAGCGTGAGTGGAGGGGGTGTGTGGTATGTGTTTTCACTTTCCGGATGGCTTCTGTGTCTAACAGGGCTGCTGCAGAATCTCACCTCTCCAGTGCCCAACTAGGCAGTAGATCCCTTCGCTGAACTTGGCTACAGTTATCCCCGTGCTCACACAGAGTTCTGAACTTCTGATGCCGTAAACAAGGGAATTCGCCCCATCACACTGTTGGTAGACATGTGCACGGCCACACTGACCAGTCCAGGGGCAGTACACTGCAGTGGTTAAGAACACTGGCTCTGGGCTCAGATCTCCCAGGCAAGTTTCTCCACTCTGTGCTTCAGGCACCTGAGTTGTCAACTGGGGACAGTAACAGCACCTGCTCTCTAGGCTGGCACTGAGGACTGATTGTTGAAATGATGAAGGCATAGTATATAATAAGATCCTAGTAAATAAATATATACACACACACACACACACACCACCGCAGGTCTCATTGTAACGACCAAAACTAATATGCTGCTGTGGTCAACAACGAGGCCTTCAGAATAAGACAGATCTAACCTTGAATTCTCCCTCTGCCATTTACTAGCTATGGGGAACTGACAAGTGAATGAATGCCTCCGAGCCCACATCCTCGCCCATGAAATGCGGAGAACAACGCCCATCTGCCAGTGTTTGGGAACTTCCAGAGACAAGGCCTTGGCATCCCTCCTTCGGCAGACACGTGCTGAGCACACACAGCCCCCAGAAGGCACACCAAGCCCCCTGGAAAGGAGAAGACCCCTGCCCTCGCCTTGCCATGCCTCTGCCCCTTTGAGCACCTGCCAAGACTCTCCTGGGCCTCCCTCCCCTCCATCCCCTCCCTCTCCTGTGCTCCTCACCCTAGGAACACAGACACCAGGAAATGAGGGCCCAGCCTTCCTCCCTGCCAGCCAACCCACATCTGAATCCTTCCGCTCCCACAGGCCCCACTCTCTAGCCACACCCTCCCTTCCGGCACCGGGCTAGACTTTCCCAGCCAGACCACGGGGTGCTCCTCGGAAGCCCAGGGTGGCCGTGTGATATAGCAACCAAGGCAGGGTAAAGGGCACCTAACACAATGAGCAGGGAAACCCAGGGCTGTGCCAAAGAACCAAGGTTTATTCCCACCTTCCTTTGCCCCCTTCTTGCTCATCACTTAAAGGAGCCTGCCTGTGGCTCTCTCTTGAAGTTCACACTCAGCAAAACCAGTGGCCTATTTCAGCTCAATCATCAGCTTTTTCCACAGCCTGGCACTGCTGAGAAAGTGGCTTAAGAGGGCAGCTATTTGCGTCACCTGCCCCTGTGCCATGTGTCCCCACTCGGCTCCCACCATGTCTCCCTCCTGCTACAACTGTTCCTTTGAATCTTTCCTACTTGTGGTTTCCAGGTGTCCCTTTTTCAGTCAGTTCTGGACTCCTTCTTGGGAACTGATGGTGGCACCAGTGACTCCAGCAGGGCTGCACAGCCCAGACCTCCAGCTCCTGCTACAGGGACAAGCTGATCGGTCGCTCAGGGAGTCCCTGCCACTGCCCCAGCTTAACGCCCTGGGAGAGTGCATGGCTCAAACCAGGCAAATCAGAATCCTTTCTCGTGTCAGCCCTGCCTTTGCCCGGGCTGGGGTGTGGCCCTCTCCTCTCTGCCTTTTCTGCCTCTGCCCCCGTCATCATCGGCTTGGGAGGCTGCCACACCACTGTCTCCCCAGCACACAGAGAGCCGCTGTACTGCTGTTTCTCCAGAACCAGAGTCCAGTAGATGTGGGGGCGGGGAGAGTGGGAGGTCCCTACCCAAGGTTTCTCTCCTCTTTTTCCGGTTGGCCTCACATCGCCTTTGTTGCATTTCACCATGGAGCTGTTCTCCAGGCTGGGCTTTCTCTTGGCTGGCTGCCTTTCTGGGACAGCTCTCAGGTCCCCCAGTGCCTAACAACTGCTCACTGGCTGCTCACTCACTGCGCCAGCCATGCCACCGAGTGGTCTGGGTGGTTACTGCTGTGCCGCTGACCATCTCACATCCAAGCCCTGACCACTGCGTCTAATCTGCACACAGTCTCACTCGTTATCTGTGCTTGAGGTTCTGGGTGGGCAGGGTCTGGTTTCCTTCCAGAACGACCTCAGGACATTAGCCCAAGGGCCATGTCAAAATGAACCACCTGCTTTCAGGGGCCTTTTGCTATCCCACACATCATGATGGTTCTTTTTGGTAGATGACTTGACAAGACTCAAAGGTAATTCAAGTTCTAACTTGGAATCTTGTAATATTTTCTTATCCTTAAAAGTTACATAAGCTCTGGAACAGCTGGACTCACATCTCTCCCTCGTTGCACCGTCTCATGCCCTTGGCATTGTATGCTATGTATATTTAGAAGCCCAATAGATGCTGTGACAAAATGGAAAAGCAATGACACTGTGTCTGCACAATCTGAAACCATCACTGACATTATTCAGAAGTTCAGGTGCACGTTTGCTTTCTAAGTAAATTTAACCTACAATTCTTTTTTTTTTATTTTTTTATTTTTTATTTGACAGGCAGAGTTAGACAGTAAGAGAGAGAGAGAGACAGAGATAAAGGTCTTCCTTTGCCGTTGGTTCACCCCCCAAAGGCCGCCATGGCTGGTGCCCTGCGCCGATCCGAAGCCAAGAGCTAAGTGCCTCCTCCTGGTCTCCCATGGGGTGCAGGGCCCAAGCACCTGGGCCATCCTCCTCTGCCCTCCCGGGCCACGGCAGAGAGCTGGACTGGAAGAAGAGCAACTGGGCCTAGAACCTGGTGCCCATATGGGATACCGGCGCCTCAGGTGGAGGATTAACCAAGTGAGCTACAGCGCCAGCCCCTTAACCTACAATTCTTTTAGGAAAATTAGCCATGTTCCTTCTCTCCAGTGGCAATGGTAAATGTGTCTTGGTTCACCCCCGAGTCGCCGCTGCGTCCAGGTGCTTTTCCCGGTCTCCCATGCAGGTGCAGGGCCCAAGCACTTGGGCCATCCTCCACTGCACTCCCGGGCCACAGCAGAGAGCTGGCCTGGAAGAGGGGCAACCGGGACAGAATCCAGCACCCCGACCGGGACTAGAACCCGGTGTGCCGGCGCCGCAGGCGGAGGATTAGCCTATTGAGCCGCGGAGCTGGCCTCTGCTTGTTTTTTTTTTGAAGATCTATTTTTCATTTGGGAGGCAGAATGATAGGGAGACATGGAGACATAGATAGATAGATAGATAGATAGATAGATAGATAGATAGATGGAACTTCCATCCCTGGTCCTCCTTCCAAATGACCTCAAAGAGCCAGGTCTAGGCCTGGCCTGAAGCCAAGAGCCAGGAATTCCATCCAGGTATCCCACATGGGTGGCAGGGGCCCAGGCATTTGGTGCATCTTCTGCTGCACTCCCAGGGGTTGGAAGTGGGGGAGTCAGGATTGAAGCCAGCACTCCAGTACAGGGTGCAGCGTCACACATGGTGTTCACCCTACTGAACTCAACGCTGATGCTCGGATTCTGCTTCTGCCCCAGCCTTCTGCTAACGCACATCCTGGGAGGCAGCAGGTGATGGCTCAAGTTGCAGGGGCCCTGCCACTGACGTGGGAGCCTCAGCTTAAGCTCTGACTTCCCAGCACCCAGCTTCAGCCTGGCTCAATCCCAGAAGTCAGGAGCATTTGTTGGGTCAACCCGCAGATGAGAGCTCTCTTTCTGTCTATCTCTCGTTTGTGTCTCTATCTCTCAAACAAATAAGCAAGAATTGAAATGTTCTGTGCTGGACAAAATAACCATCGCTCTTTCTCTAATTTCTCTGCCAAACGAATAGAATCAAAGTGTTCTGCATTGAACAAAGTGAGCAGGTTTCTTCCCCTGCCGTCTAGCAGTCCCTGCTCTCCTCACTGGCCTCCTGCCTTACTGGGCTGCCTTCTCAGACTCATTTGCTGCTCTCTCCTCTCCTCCACCTGAGGGTGCTAGGCCCAGAGCTCCGCCTTAAGCCCTCTTTCCTCTCTAGCACACTCTCTTTTGTGGTCTCAAATTTATGACTTTAAATCTACGTGCTATGATGCCTAATTTTATCTCCCACCTTTGTCTTTCCCAATATCCTGATTTCCCTGTCCATGTGGCTAACTGACCTCAGCAGAGAGAGGCAAAAACGTGTCTGAAATATAACTAGAGGGGCCAGCGTTGTGGCATAGCAGACAAAACCACTGCCTACATCCCATATGGGCCCTGTTTCAAGTCCAGCTGCTCCGCTTCCGATCCTGCTCCCAGCTGATGGCCTGCAAAAAGCAGCAGAGGATGGCCCATGCATCTGGGCCCCTGCCACTCATGTGGGAGACCCAGTAGAAGCTCCTGACTTCAGCCTGACCTAGTGCTGACTGTTGTGGCCATCTGGGGAGTGAAGAGTGGATGGAAGATCTCTGTCTCTCCCTCTCCCTCTGTAACTCTGACTTTCTGATAAATAAATAAATCTTTAAAATATATATAACTAGAGCCGGCGCCGCGGCTCACTAGGCTAATCCTCCGCCTAGCGGCGCCGGCACACCGGGTTCTAGTCCCGGTCGGGGCGCCGGATTCTGTCCCGGTTGCCCCTCTTCCAGGCCAGCTCTCTGCTGTGGCCAGGGAGTGCAGTGGAGGATGGCCCAGGTGCTTGGG